GTTCTTGAACTTCTTTTGTAAGTGGTGTTTTATTTATTTTAATTAATTTTTCTGGTGAGTATAATTTGTTTGGTTTTCAAAATTTGAAAATCAACAAATCAGTCTTGATTCTTTCGTGGGTCATGCCTTTTTTTCTTTCCTGTTTTTCCTGTTTAGTTTCTTTTTTCTGTTTTTGTTTGTTTTTTTAAAGAAAGAAATGAACAATCAAACTTCTCATGCAAAAGAGGACGTTGAATCCATTCCGTTCCGTGTATTATTCCAAACTCAACGAACGCTGAGTAGTGAAAATGTTTAACTTGGATTAACCAGGTAATATACGTTTTATCGAATGTCTATTTTCTTTTTTTTATTTAAAAAGAAGAAAAAGAAAACGAAAGAATGGGGAAAAAAAGAAAGAAAAGTCCTCTTGCTTGAAAGGGTCATTGAACTCATAGTCATACCCTTCCCTTTATTATGCTAGCCTCATCTTTCGTCCAGGCTCTTCGAAAGGAGAATTTGAATTTAGATCAGCCAGGTGCAGAAGTGAATTCAACAATGGCGCGGACCTCCGCCCGCTTAGACGGGGAGAGACTCCGGATAATCGACACACAAAGAGAAACAAAACAAAACCCCACAAAATTGAAAAAGACTCTTCTTTTCGAGCTGTGTTCTTGAGAAGAATATCGTGGGGTCTGCCATGGTGGGGACATTTAAGCGGGGGTGGGGGGGGGGGGCATTTAGGAGAGCTGTGGGAATAACTCATTGTCATGGTTTTCCGTTTCTCCATAGCTTTTGAGTCAGGCCGCGGGGTGTTGAGATTGCTGGTGGGTGAGGGCTCCAATGTGTGAACTGGGTGTGAAAAGGGGCCATCGTTTGTTGATGAGTGTAGTGGAGATAGGATGTTGTGGCTGTGGACGAGAGTCCGTGCCACTTAGGGCAATAGAGGCTGTTAGTTGTGTGTTATGTTAACGAGGGGCGTGCGTTTTTGGCTGTGTGTGTGTTTGTGTGTGTGTGTTTGATTTATGTGTGTGTTTTTGGTGTGTGTGCGTGTGTGTTTGATTTATGTGTGTGTTTTTGGTGTGTGTGCGTGTGTGTTTGATTTATGTGTGTGTTTTTGGTGTGTGTGTGTGTG